TCCTCATTTGTTTAGTTTGTCCATTTGTTTGTTCACTAAAAATTAATAGGATGTTGCTTCATAACTATTGAAAGCACATGCTTATAATAAATTTTTGTTTAACTATTTTGGTTTCTAATTAGTTGGACATCTTATATGAATTTCTATAATGAAATGATAATTACATCTTGTATACAAGGTGGTTTCAAAAAAGTTTGTGGAAAAGTGGAATGAAAAGATAATAGAATTTTTCTACAAACTTTCTGAAGCCCCCTTGTATTTGAAAGGCAGATATTCAATAACATTAACTTTCCTGGAATACAGCTAAGAAGCATGAAAGAAGGGAAAAGAAAAAATATTCTCCCGAACCCAAAGGTATACCTAAAACATTTATAGATATGACTCTTAGGTGCTTGCTGTTGAGTTGGTTCTGACTCGCAGTGACCCTATACACAGCAGAACAAAACACTGACTTGTCCTGAACCATCCTCAAAATTGTTGCTATGTTTGAGCCCATTGTTTATGCCATTGTGTCCATTCATCTTACAGGGGTCTTCCTCTTTCTCGCTGACCCTCCACTTTGCCAAGCATAATGTCCTACTGCAGGAACTGGTTCCTCCTAACAACATGTCCAAAACACCAGAAACCAAGTCTCACCATCTTGGATTCTAAGAAACACTCTGGTTGCATTTCTTTCAAGACAGATTTGTTGGTTCTTCTGAGAGTCCAGGGTACTTTCAATATTCTCTTCCCAGTCCATAATTAAAATGCATCGATTCTTCTATGATCTTCTTTATTCAGTATCCAACTTTCATATGCATATGAGGCAATTGAAAATGCCATGACTTGGGTCATGCTAAAGTGTAAATGTTGTTCACATGGTTAATGTGCTTGGCTGATATCTAAAGGTTGCAGATTAGAGTCCACCCAAGGTGCCTTGGAAGAAAGACCCTGCAATCTGCATTTGAAAATCAGCCATTAGAGGCTTTATGGAGCATGGTTCTATTCTGACACACATGAAGTCACCAAAAGTCAGTATCTATTTGATAACAACTGTTTGTATGAACATTCCCAGTCTTTCATTAGTTTATTCATAGTTCTATCAAAGTACAATATCCTCGGCCCAAAACCAAAGTCAAATTTGAATGGGGAAGTAGCTGCACTACACAGATACATTCACGGGGGGTGGGAATGAAAGTGGGTTTTTGTTTTATTTGTTGTTGTTAAGTACCACGGAGTCGCTTCCAACTCATAGTGACCCTGTACAGGGTTTCCAAGACTGAAAATCTTTACAGAAGCAGAAAGCCTCATCTTTATCCCACGGACCAGCTGGTAGTTTCTAATTGCCGATCTTGAGGTCAGCAGCCCGATTCGTAACCACTACGCTACCAGATAAAAACCTTACAAAAACCAATGAGTATCTCAGAAAACATAGCTTGAAATGTTTGGAATGTAAACCAGAGAAGGAAGTATTATGATGTAATTTGTGATCGTATTAGTGTAATCATTCATTTTGGTTTAGAGATCTCCAAACCCGAGACATCGAGAAAAGATTAAGTTACTGATACCCAACTAGTAAATCTACATTTTAGAAATATTTCTTTAGGTTGAAGATTTTTGATGTCATGGATCTTGTTTACTTTGTCTTAAACTAGTGCTTGGAATACAGTTGTTAGGTGCCATCAAGTTGGTACCAAGTCATAGCGACCCATGCACAACAGAACGAAACACTGCCCAGTTCTCAGCCAACCTCACAATTGTTGCCACACTTGAGCCCATTGATGCTGCCATTTTGCCAATCCATCACACTGGGGGTCTTCCTCTTTTTCTCTGACCCTCCACCTTACCAAACATGATATCCTTCTCCAGTGACTGGTCCCTGCTGACAATATGTTCAAAGTATGGGAGACAAAGTTTAGCCATTCTGGCCTCCAAGGATCACTCTGGCTGCACTTCTTCCAACACAGACCTGTTTGTTCTTTTGGCAGCCCATGGCCCTTTCAATATTCTCCTCCTACACCATAACTCAAAAGCATCAATTCTTCTACTGTCTTCCTTATATTCATTGTTCAGCTTTCGCGTGCATATGAGGTTATTGAAAATACTATGCTTGGGTCAGTCGCACCTTAGTCCTCAAGCTGACATCTTTGCTTTTCAACAATTTTAAAAGATCTTGTGCAGCAGATTTGCCTCATGCGATACGTCGTTTGATTTCTTGACTGCTGCTTCCATGAGTGTTGATAGTTGATCCAAAAAGAATGAAGTCCTTAACAATTTCAATCTTTTCTCCGTTGATAAGAATGTTGTTTATTGGTCCAGTGGTGAGGATTTTTGTTTTCTTTACATTGAGATGCAATCCATACCAAGGCTGTGCTCTTTGATCTTCATTAGTAAATATTTCAAGTCCTCTCACTTTCAGCAAGCAAGGTTGTATCATCTGCATATCACAGGTTGTTAATGAGTCTTCTTCCAATCCTGATGCCACATTTTTCTTCATAGAACCCAGCTTCTTGGATTGTTTTCTCAGCATACAGGTTGAATAAGTATGGTGAAAGAATACAACCTTGTCACATACCTTTCCCAATTTTAAAACATTCAGTGTTCCCATGCTCTGTTTGAACAACTGCTTCTTGGTCCAGGTACAGATTCCTCAGAAGTACAATTAAGTGTTCTGGAATACTCATACGTCTCAATGTTGTCCATAGCTTGTCATGATCCACACAATCAAAAGCCTTTGCATAGTCAATAAAGCACAGATAAACATCTTTCTGGTATTCGCTGCTTTCAGCCAAGATCCATCAGACATCAGCAATGATATCCCTCATTCCATACCCTCTTCTGAATCCGGCTTGAACCTCTGGAATTTGTCTGTCAGTGTATGCTTGTAGTTGTTTCTGTATTACCTTTAGTAAAACTTTACTTGCATGGGATATCAAAGATATTGTTCAATGATTTCTACATTCTGTTGGGTCACCTTTCTTTGGAATGGGCACAAATATGGATCTCTTTCAATCAGTTGGCCTGATAGTTGTCTTCCAAATTTCTTGGCAGAGATGAGTGAGTACCTCCAGTGCCACCTCACTTTCTTGAATAATTTCAATTTTTATTCCACCAATTCCTGGTGCCTTGTTCTTAGCCAATTCCTTCAATACACCTTTGAATTCTTCCTTCAGTATCACTGGCTCTTGATCATATGCTACCTCTTGAAATGGTTGTATACCAACCATTTCCTTTTGGTACAGAGACTCTCTATATTGCTTCCATTTTCCTTAGTTGCTTTCTGCATCATTCAGTAATTTGCCCAGAGAATACTTCAGTAACAAAGGTCGTGGCTTGATTTTTTCCTTCAGTTCCCCCAGTTTGAGAAATGCTGAGCATGTTCTTCCCTTTTGGTTTTCTGACTCCAGATCTTTGCACATTTTGTTGTAATATTTGACTTTGTCTTCTCAATCTGACCTTTGAAATTTTCTTTTCAGCACATGTACCTCCTCATTCTTCCATTTGCTTCAGCATCTCTACACTGGAGAGCAACTTTCATAGTCTGTTCTAACATTCATTTTGATCTTTTCCTTCTTTCTTGTCTTCTCAGTGGCTTTTTGCTTACTTCCTGTCTGATGCTCTGGATGTCATCCCACAACTCTGCTGGTCTTCTGTCTTTCTTCATATGCTGACAGGACACAACTTAGAATGAAGAGAAACAGCTGTAAACATCCATTAAGAATCAGAACATGGAATGTATGAAGTACGAATCTATGTAAATTGGAAATCATCAAAACTGAAGTGGAACACATAAACATCAATATCTTAGGCATTAGTGAGCTGAAATGGCCATTTTGAATCTGACAACCACATGGTTTACTATGCTTGGAATGACAAATTGAAGAGGAATGGTGTTGCATTCATTGTCAAAAAGAACATATCCAGATCAGTCATGAGGTACAACATGTCTGTGATAGGATAATATCCATGCGCCTCCAGGGAAGCCCAGTTAATAGCGCTATTATTCAAATTTATGCACCAACCACTAAAGCCAGTGAGGATGAGATAGAAGAATTCTACTGACTTCTTCAATCTGAAATTGATCAAACATGCAATCAAGATGTATTGATTATTACTGGTGATTGGAATACAAAGGTTGGGAACAAAAAGGAAGGATCAGTAGTTGGAAAATATGGCCTTGGTGATAGAAATGATGCTGGAGAATGCATGATAGAATTCTGCAGAATCAATGATTTGTTCAATGTATACCTTCTTTAGACAGCATAAGAGATGAATATATACATGGACCTTACCAGATGGAATACACAGAAATCAAATTGACCACATCTATGGAAAGAGACCATGGAAAAACTCCATATCACCAGTCAAAACAAGGCCAGGACAGATTGTGGAACAGACCATCAATTGCTCATATGCAAATTCAAACTGAAGCTTAAGACAAATGAAAACAAGTCCATGAGACCCACAATATGGCCTTGAGTATATCCCATCTGAATTTAGAGATCATCTGAAGAAGAGATTTGACATACAGTAGGTGCTCAAAAAATGTCTCTTGAAGTAATGCATGGTTTTCCCTTTAATGGGGCTAAAATACTTTTATTTAAAGGGAATATCGAAAATCTTATGTATCTGGAGAGTCCAAGATACTTGAGTTACTAACTTTTGTAGTAAACATTGAGTTAGGTGTCATTTCATTTAGCTCCATCTCAGCAGAGGTAAGAAAAAAGGAGCTCTGGTAGCGTAGTGGTTACGAATCGGGCTGCGAACCGCAAGGTCGGCAGTTCGAAACTACCAGCTGTTCCGCAGAAGAAAGATGAGGCTTTCTGCTCCCGTAAAGATTTACAGCCTTGGAAACCCTGTACAGGGTCGCTATGGGTCAGAACTGACTCGACGGCACTTAACAACAACAAAGAAAAAAGAGGTATTATTTAACTGACAACACACTCACATTGCACCATAAATGCAGAACCAACTCAAATTAAAATTTTAATCGAATTTAGATCTCTTTGTTTTCTTTCTAGAAATCTTTTGTCCAAACCCTCCAGCTATCCTTAATGGGAAACACACAGGAGATCCTCTGGGAAGTATTGCCTATGGAATAGAAGTATCTTACATGTGTGACCCCAACGCAGACCTCATTGGGGAGAGCACAATCCGCTGCACAAGTGACAATCTAGGGAAAGGGATGTGGAGTGGCCCTGCCCCTCTCTGTGAACTTTCTGCCCATGCTGGTCAGTATCCACATTCACATATCCTAAATGGACTCAGAACCTCTGGACCAAACCAACCATATTTTTTAATTAGAAATGTGGTTTTTGCTTATGTGTTTGACTTAGTCTTAAGTGGAAGTAGCTAAGTTATATGCCATCTATTAAGATAGGTTCTTGCAGTGCCTAGGTATGTATGAACTGATAAAAAGTTAATAACTCTTCTTGTTTGTGCAATAATGAGAACAATGAAGTAAGAGAAGCCAGGGGAGGAGGAGAGGGAAAAGGGTAAGGTGCAAGCTCTGTAAATTAGCAAGAAAAAGGTTTTCATTTGATGATGTTGTTGTTGGGTGCCATGGAGTCAGTACTGACCCATAGCGACCTTATGCACAGCAGAACAAAACACTGCCCGATCCTGGGCCAACCTCACTACTGTTGCCACACTTGAGTCCATCTATGCTGCCACTTGGCCAATCCATCTTGTTGGGGGTCGTCCTCTTTTTCTCTGACCCTCCACCTTACCAAAAAATTAACATTTTTTCTTGCTAATTTAATTTGATAGGGCATGAAAATAACCAGTTGTGAACAGTAAGATCCCTGGGTGATGTGAACATTGTACATGTGGCTGCTTACCAGAAGTTGGCAGTTCAAACCTACCCAGCAGTGCCTTGGGGGGTAAATCTGGCAATCTGCTTCCATAAAAATTATAGCCAAGAAAATCTTATAAAGTTCTGTCTTGCTCTGTACCACATGGAGTCACCATAAGTCAGAAGTGATATGAAGGCAATGGGCTTGCTTTATGAACCAATAGTAATGCAACTGAAATTCTGATATGGCATGATAGGATAAGCACAGGATTGGTAACCACAATGTCAGTGGTTCAAACCCACTAGCCACTCCTTGGAAGCTCTATACAAGTCACTTGCTATGAGTCAGAACCAACTTGATGGCACTTAACAACAACAGTGTAACTGATTTACAATCTCCACAAGTTTATGAGGGGTATATGGGCATACCAAGGACAAAACTGGAAGACTGGATATTATTTAGGTAAGGCTTTAGCTAGCTTTTGTTGAATGGGCTAAGTAACCGTAAAGACTCTCTGTCTTTGCTGTCCTAGCTTAAGACCTACACCAGAAGTATGCCCCTTTGTTCGCATGCCTCTGGGCTGCACCAAAATCTTTCCTCTGGAGCTCTTCTACTCTGAGGGTAACAAACAAGAAAACACCACTCCAACGAAATGGGTCCAGAAAGGAAGAGGCTATTTCTTCCTAAGGACTGGAATAGCTTACCCAGTCCTTTAGACCCAACTGTCCAAGAGTGGAAGCTGGAGTAGACTGGGGAGGGGCAGCAGGCTAAGAAGACCATATCAACTGCAGGGGGATCCCTGAGAGAAAAGAGCAATCCAATAAGGAGAGCTACGCACGGTGGAAGGCATTTACCTTTTCAGTGCTCCCCCTCACCTTCCAACATGGCAGAATCCAGTCACATTTTCTAAAAGCAGTGCCTTGACAACATCCCAGGCTTAATAAGATAGAAGAGGATAATAAGAAAGATGAAGGGGTAGTTGAATTCCAAGTCTATTTCAAAATAATCAGCACCCAGTGTTCTTGTTGTTAAGTGCTGTCAAGTCAATTCTGACCCATAGTGACCCTGTATAGGGTTTACAAGGCTATAAATCTTTGAGGGAGCAGAAAGTCTCATCTTTCTCCTGCAGCACCCAATATACTTACTCATAAAGGGAACATAATTTCTTGGAGGAGGATGGCTTAGCCTGTTTTGTCCTTTCTCTTAAATGTCTGGCTTTACATCAGAAGGCAAAGAGTATTGTCTTTGTTTCCTCCAGGGCTTTGGATGGATTCATTCCCCTGCAGAGAATTTATATTCCACCCCAGATATTATTAAATGAAGATCTTGTTAAAATGTAAATGCTGATTCTGTTTATCTGGGGTGTAAATGCAAATTCTTAGCAGGAGTTCAAACCAGAGTGACAAAGTTTTGGTTTCCTAGGGTCACAAATTTCCACAGACTTGGTGACTTAAAAACTTGTAATTGATTCTCACACAGTTTTAGAGGTTGCAAGTCTGAGATTAACATTATCAGCAAATGCTCCAAAGGCTCTGTGGGATGATTCAGTCCTTGCCTCTTCAGAATTTGGTGGCTCCTTGGTGTTTGTGGCTTATAGATACAACACTACAGTCTCTGTCTCCATCTATAGGACCCTTCGCTCCTATATATCTGTAGCTCAAATATCCCTCTCCTCCCTCTAGGACAGGGCTGGGAACCTTTTTTCTGTCAAAATTTGTAACATTATATAAAATTATCAGCTTAAAAATTAGCTTGCTATATTTGGTCAAATATTTAATTAACTTACCTTTAAATGTGATGGCTGGAACTGTGGTTGCCTTGGCAGGGCCAGACCAAATGATTTTGCAGGTCTTATATGACCTGAGGACTGACATTTCCTACCCCTGTCTTATAAGGACATCAGTCATTTGATTTATGTTCAGTGCCATTGAGTCTATTCAGACTCACAGTGAGCCTGTATAGGACTTACAAGGACCAGCTGGTGGGTTTGAATCTCCAACATTGCAGTTCAAACCAACCTTGTGCTCCAATGCATTGTCCTACAGTACCACATCAGGACTACATTTCATTTATTTGTTGTTGTTAAGTGCCGTCAAGTCGGTTCCTACTCAGAGTGATCCTGTATAGGGTTTCTGAGGAGCAGCTGATGAGCTTGAACAACTGACCTTACAGTTCAAACTGACCTTGCAGTCCAGTGCATTGACCCACAACACCACAATAAATCCAGAATTATCTCATCTTAAAAATCCTTTGATTATATCTGCAAAAATCCTTATTGCAAGTAAATTCATATTCTGGGGGTCTCATGGACATATCTTTTGGAAGGATGCTTATCAATCCACTACAGGTAGTAACTACTATTAGTTTGAGTGATGCAGCTTGCTGTGGACACCTCTGATAACAGAGTAGGGAGGAGTGTATGGAGAGAGATGATAAAACACATGTGAGTACATGAACAGCTAACTCCAGATAAAGGCACTGTGGGGGGTAGCCTGACACACGAACCTAAGAATTGAAATTCTCATTAGTTTCTAGTAGTCTTGTTCTTACAAGAACAGAAATACCAGAAAGCTCAGTAAGCTTCCTAGTATTAAACATTTCCTAATGATTAGATGGTAGTCGAAGGAATCCTGGTGTGTGGTGCTGTAGGATCTGACTGGACTGCTAACTGCAAGGTCAGCAGTTCAAACCCACCAGCTGCTCCCTAGAAACCTTACACAGGGTAGCTATGAGTTGGAACTGACTCAACAGAACTTAACAACAACAACAACAAGATGCTAGTAGAAAGCACTATGCAAAGATAACTTCCAGGGAAGAAAACTTGTTTGCCATTGTTGTAAGTCTCTGTTTCTGTGGTCTCGTCTATTAGCTTAGTTGAAGAGAAAAAGGAGGAAAAGTGGAGGTCTCTGCTAACTTTGCTATTCCTGTGGTCCTGGCTTCCAGGTCACTGTAAAACTCCAAACCAACTTCCATTTGCCAAGCCTACAACTCCGATTAATGAGTCTGAGTTTCCAGTTGGTACATATTTGAATTATGAATGCCTCCCTGGATACTCTGGAAGCTTGTTCTCTATCACCTGCCTTAAAAATTTGGTGTGGTCAAGTGCTGAAGACACCTGTAAAAGTAAGTAGCCCTGCCCTGGGAGCGCTTCATGTTTGTCAGGGTATCTGGGAGTTGGTTTCATTTCTTCAAACATACATGGACTAAAGGTGTTTCTTTGGAGGATAGTCTTCTAAGTCATCATTTCTTATTGCTTGGATTTAGATATTCATTTCATGGGAAAGACTCTCACCAAAGGAGCTGAAGGGGGAAAACTCCATTTGCTAGGAGGCACTTTGGAAGGCATGAAAGGCATGAATCAGGGACATGGGTGTACATTACAGATTTGCCTATTCTAGATATTTCATGTAAGTGGTACCCAAAGTTTATTAATGGTTACCAGGAATGAGAGGAAGGAAGAAAGAGGGCGCCATTGCTTAAGAAATGCTGAGCTTCTATTAAGGAAGATGGAAAAAAAATTGACATAGAAACTGGTGCTGGTTCCACAAAATGAAGAATATAAATAATGTCAACCCACCAGCCGCTCCTCGGAAACCCTATACAGGGTCGATGTGAGTCGGAACTGACTTGATGGCACTTCACACACGAGGTCTCCAAGACAACTGGTGGAGGTGGGATCAGAGTACACTCTCTATTCATAAAGAACCTTTCTCAGGAGATGCAAGGTGGTCTTTTAATAAGTGACACCCTATAGCTGTTTGGTTCTGAGTTTGTGTAGTTAGTTGCTTCAAACTGGCTAGTTCTGTGGAATAATCCGAATGATATCACTTGCCATATTCCAATGCGAATCTTGTAAATGAAGATAAATTGAACTCTATATCTAGCCAATTCTTTCTTTCTTTCTTCTAGGAAAATCATGTGGCAATCCCCCAAAACCCTCCAATGGAATGGTGGTTATAGACACAGATATCCAGTTTGGATCAACTGTTAATTATTCTTGTGAGAAAGGGTGAGTTACAAGCAATACTTCTTGAAATTAGTTTCAGAACAACAATGTCAGCCTCTAACCCAGGCTTAGGCAAAATAGAACATTGTCACCTGTACTTAAAAACTAAGCAATAGAAAAAAAGCTGGTGGCTTGGGCATATGACCAAAGAAAATACTGAAGAAAGCAGGAACAATCTGCATCGATTTTGCAAACTAGGAAAAGGCACCATGTTCCTGCAAAAAATAGAGTATATATGAAACCTGGGGAAGCAGTCACTGGATTAAAAAGAAGCCTACCAATTAGATAGAGTTCTGCTGTGGCACAGTAGGATAAGCACTGGACAGCTAACTGGAAGGTCAGTGGTTCAAATTCACCAGCTGCTCCTCGGAAACCCTATATAATAGCATTGTTGTAAGTCAGAACCAACTCAACACCCCTTAACAACAACAAAATCAAATAAGTATAAGGAAAAGTGCTATGTGGCCCATACAAATATCCTTAACTGAAAGCAACAGAGTACTATAACTATAGCTCTCTGAAGCAGTTGAAGGGCAAATCTTAAAGGTAAACAATAGCTCTGGGAAGTGGAACCCATTAAGGTTCTACTTACTCATAACTTTCCCTTGGGATAGATAGCCATGCTAGAAGTCATTGACTCAATTTCGAGTGATCAGTTAAAGGGTATGTACTAATTTTCAACTGCCACATAAATTAATGGGAAAAATACATACCGATTAAATCTCCCTACAGAACTGTCCCTGATCACTAGCCCCACCCTGAGGAATTGTATCTATGATCCAGCAAGTTTAAAGTGTTGTTGTTATTAAGTGCATGGAGTAGAGTCCAACCCATAGCAACCCTGTATAGGGTTTCTGAGGAGCAAATGGTAAGATTGAACCACCAACCTTGCAGTTCAAACTGAATTTGCAGTCTAGTGCATTAACCGACAGCGCCAAGTACATAGTAGATCAATATTCACCCATTCTCACTTTGAGCCTGGGAGATTTTAGCAACTTTCCACCTAATCTCTTGACAAACAATTTATTTCCATTCTGAATTACCATAGATCACTGTGTTAGTAAAATAAAATATAGCAACTGAAAATTAGGAACCAATCGGAAAAGTCAAAGTAAACCCCTCTAAAACCAACATATTCCAATAAACAGGAAAGAAACCTTAAGAGATCTCTCATTTTTGTGACAAAGAATCTATAAAACTATAGGAGGCTGTTGTAAGACTGAGAACAGGGAAATTTACACATGAATGTAATACACAGTAATCCAATAAAAGGAGTACTAATCAATGAATTATCCTGCCCAAAAAAGTAAAGAGATGATGAGAAATTCTTAAGATTCCATCAAGTATGAACAATACTAGACAGTACTTCTCTTTCTCTCTCATTTATGTATGCACAAAACCAACAATTGAGAAAAAAAAGGCAGAAAGTGATGAAGGATTAATTAGTATATAATAATAGACATTTTCCTAGACCAGGAAACAAACAGAAAAAGAGTAGATTTTTCTGGTGTTAAAGAATAACTTTAACTTGCTGAAAGTGAAGAGGACTTGAAACATTTACTTATGAAGATCAAATAGCACAGCCTTCAATATGGATTACATCTCAATGTCAAGAAAACAAAAATCCTCACCACTGGACCAATAAACAACATTCTTATCAATGGAGAAAAGATTGAAGTTGTCAG